ACAAATGAATGTCCATTTTTTATCTGTGTATTCAAAATGGTTAGGATAGATATAGTTATATTCTCTTAATGAATAGAAGGATTTGTTCTAATAGTGTTTGTAAATAGGATATCATGTCCGCATCTTGTACAGCAATTAACCAGTAGGAAGAATGTATGCAATGTGTTAATTATTGAAACCGTCCTACCAATTTGGTTTGAAACTGTCTCAATGCTATTTGTTTCTCAATAAAATTATGGGGAAAAAAAGAAAGAAAATTACTACTATATAACTAGTAGGTAAAAAATGTGGATTAATGTTAATATGGCAAAAGTATGAAGTTAAAACTAAACAAAACTAAGTGACATTGTCTGGAGACAGAAACAAGAATAAAAGTGTTCAAGAGAATAATGTAATAAGTGGTTATGTCAAGAGATGAGGTAATAGAATTTTGTAGAGGCACACAGGGACTTCAAAACTACTGAAAATGTTTAAATACAGACATATGATGAATTCTTTTAAAACATCATTTGGCAGACACAAGTAATTTTTAGTCAAAAAGAAAAAGGCAGGGCTGGCCAAATAGTTTAGCAGATTAAAGTGCCTACTTATACAGATGCAGGGGCCAGGGGTTTGATCCCCGGGCCTGCCATGCCAGCCCTGCCTCCAGGGTTCTCTGAGACAGTGATTGAGACTGACAGTGGTGGCACATGCCTGTAATCCCAGAGCATGGGAGGCTGTAAACAGGGGGATCATTATGAGTCCGATCTTTGTAGAGAGACCCTGTAGACCCTGTATCCCCTGTACTAAATGCATTTTAAAAAAGAAAAAAGGATCAGTTAACTAAGTCTAGCACAATCTCTGATTTAAAAAAAAAAAAAAAAAAAAGCTAGACAGCCACCTAGGACATCCCACTCATGATCATAAATGCAAAACTTTACCAAAAAAATAGAAAATCAAACGAGTTTAATTAAATGTGAAAGCTACTGTGTTTTTGTGCCACTGAAGATAAAAATCATTTTTAATAATCTGAAATACCTACTTTCAGTACATTTCCTAAAGAAATGCCTTCAAAGGCTCTAAATCACTAATCATCCAAAACCATCTACGAAGTATTATCATTTTGAAATACAGAAGTAAAATATCGAAGAAAACAGCTTAAAAAAAAAAAAAACCTGGAGGAGCAACTCCATTAGAACAATAGAAAGCATAGGGTACTATTTTTTTTATTATGAACCTTAAGGAATTATTTGAATTTAAAAATCACATACAAGCAGCTCCTTGATTACATTTAATAAGAAAAATAAATCCCACAAAGCTCTTACCAGTAAAGTCCACCCTAACACAATGTACCCTACTTCTTAGCAGCCCCCAGCAAAGCCCAGTGCCAGGCTCTCATGAAGATTCCAATGTTACAATATCCTGCCCAATTCATGCAAGCCTCTACTTAAAATGCAACTCTCAAAATTCCAACTCAGTTTCTCTCTTTAAATACAGTAAGACAAGAATTTTCCTTGGCTCCTATCCTATTACATAGTATCTTCTTGTTACCATTTTCATCAATATTTGGCTCCAACCAGTGAATGTCCTTGATTTTTTATGTACAGGGTCTCATGATGCAGCTCAAACTCACAGTGATCCTGTTTTCAGCCTCCCCAGAGCTAAGATTATATGTGCGCATCCCACACCCAGTGTCAGTGGCCACCACAGCATGCCAGCAGGCAGGGCCAGCATGGTGGTGCCGGGGATTGAACCTCAGTCCTTGTGCTTGCTTAAGCAGGCGCCTAGTCTGCTGCTGAGCTATCTCACCAGCCCTGAAAGTTTAATTTTCATTTAATTAGTTGAAAATATCTATTAAAAAGGGCCACAGGTTATGCTATTTCATGCAAAAGTAACCAAACACATTTGAGTTATAATTTAAAAATCAGGTTAGTTCATACAAAGCTGTGGAGATAAACAAGCTAAAAAGGCCTTATGAAAAGTGGTTTAAAAAAAGTGGTAAAATATTTCAGCACAGAGTAATATGAACAAAATGGAAGGAAAGTATTTTCACAAGCAGATCTGGTGAGGATTTTATCACTTTCTCTTGATGACATTTTAACCCCACATTTCTTTACATCTGAGCACTTTTCCGTCCCTCAGACATATAATGAAAAACCAAGGGAACTCTATACAAGAAAGAATTCCTGGGCCAGGGATATAGCTCAGTGGCACCAGTGTCTGCCTGGTAAGAGCAATGTCCCAAGTTTGACTCCTACTACAAAAAAAAAAAAAAAAAAAAAAAGGAATTCCTACTACACATCACATATCAATTGTTCTGGCCTCTACCAAAACTGGAAGAGACCTTGCCCTTATGGAGCTGAGGATGTCTATCTACCTAAGGAAGGCGAAAGAATCGGCAAAAAGGTGCCAGGAGAAAAAGCAAAATGAAAGACACTGGGTATATCTATGTTTATGTCAGATGATAATAAATGACACACAGACAAAAAGGCAGGAAGTACACCAGGACCAGAGACTATGCACAGGAGACCTCTCTAGGTGACAGGTCAGACCTTACAGGAATCTTTCTCTGAAGATGGGGGCAAGGTGGAGAAGACAAGGGCAGCAAGGGAAGGTTTGGCAGGTGGTGTAGAGGAAGGAGCCAGATCGTGTAAGGTGCCCTGTCATGATTTTGGCTTTTTCTTCAGATGACAGGAGACTGTTTCTGTTTGAATAGAAAAAGGACCTATTCGGTTTAAAAAGATTCCCTCCACTTGCAGTGTGAGAACAGACAACACAGGGGCAAGGGCAGAGGTAGTGGCCAAGATGCAGCATCTACTGCAGTAGTGTAGGAGTCAGAGCCAACAAGATTTCTCATCTGAGTAAATCTGGCGTACAAAATGATGGTCATGAAAGACACCAAGGATCTGGCCTGAGAAACTGGAACCACTAGAATGTGAGGTCAGGAGAACAGTTTGAGGGGGGAGATAAGCAATATTGAGAAGAATGAAAGTACAGGAAAGCTGCAGACCTAGATGAGGTGACTGAAAAAGCTGGTAGATAGGAAACCAGTCCAGGGAAGACCAGTTACTTACTTTTCCCCACGAGACAACTCATGCATCTATGTCATGGTCTAGACACTTCAACTGAAAACCCAAGTGATTCTGATATACTTGAAAGTTTGAAAAATTACTGACAAATGTCAAGATAAAATCATTTTTAATAATCTGAAATACCTACTTTCAGTACATTTCCTAAAGAAATGCCTTCAAAGGCTAGATCGCGCTAATCATCCAAAACCATCTACGAAGTATTATCATTTTGAAATACAGAAGTAAAATATCGAAGAAAACAGCTTAAAAAAAAAAAAAACCTGGAGG